TATTTATATATTTTTATATTTATTGTATATTTATATATATATATATTTATTTTTTTTTCGAATCGTCGATCCGAAAGTATGCAGCGCTGATAGTTGTTGTTAAAATACAGATATACAGATACATACCTATATATATATAGATATATATCCATATATATATATATATATATATATGTATATGTATATATGTATTTGTATATATATAAATAAATATACAAATAAATATACAAAAAATATATAAAAAATTTTAAATAATTATATAAATAAATATATAAACATATAAATATATATATAAATACATATACAAATAAATATATAAATATATATACACAAATAAGTATATAAAAATAAATATATACAGAGGCCTATATATATAAATGAATATACAAATAAATATATATATATATAAATATACAAATAAATATAAAAATATAAATAAATAAATACAGTATATATAAAATAATATATATATATATAAATAGATATATAAATAAATACAGTACATATATATAAATATATCTGTATGTATGTATCTGTATATCTGTATTTTAACAACATCTCTATCAGCGCTGCATACTTCCGTATCGACGATTCGAAAAAGTGTATGTACTGCTCATGACTGGACTACACAGGCAAAGCTCCCCGGTGGAAAAAAAAGGATTTAAAATGTATGGCTCGCGCACTGGCTCGCACTTTGTCACGACCCGGCTTAGCCTAGCTAGGACTTTAATAGATGTAAAATAGATGTCACATAAACATTTATACACCTTGGAAGACGTTAATGCTATCAGAATGTTTTGATGTTGCGGGCGCTTTTCACTAAATAGTGGGAATGAGGGTGCTCTTCACCTGCCAATTCTCCGGTCTCTCAATTTTTAAGAAGGTCAAGGGGTTGAAACGTCTGATGGATTAAACATGGCACATTTTATTGTTTAATTATTTCAATTGGATCCAGTCAAGACAGTCACCCACTTGCCAAGTCTCCCCTAACCAAGTACCCCCTCCCTCAACCATAGAATGTATGTAAAATTTTTTTAAATCGTTTCTTGTCCTACAGCAATATTTTGAAAAATGTAGAATGAGAATATTCAATTTATTTCGTATTACATCCATTTTATTATGTAATTTATAAACATTGAAAAACCAATTCCTTATAATATAATTACCTGCTTACTGTAGAATCAAATGATATTATCAAGCAATAAAAAGGTGATTTAAAATAATATTTTATCAAAATAAACAGAATGGATTCTTCCATAACAGTGGCCATTTCATTTCAAATTCAAGCCCAGGGCATTTCATACTGACCAATGAGAGTGGACAGACAACCCAGACAATCGATAAGAAAAATATTCCATTGATTTGCCTAATTCAAAATTGTTAGGATTATTTATGCTTGCCTCAGTGTATTCATTTTAAACTGAAAGCCAGCTCAGACATTCTATTGCTCTACTGCTGCATTTATAATCAATAGTTGTCAATCAAGCTGCTTTATGGGAAGTTATGTGAATTTGATTATTGGAAATCAGAAATTTGCGCTGATTGGATTTATTTTGTCCTTATACTGAAGATTGTTCAAAAATTAACATTTTTGTTTTTTAAATCTTTAAGCTCAAAGCGGTTTTTTTTAACCGATACTATGGTTTCCTTCCTATGTGATTAATGTATTTTATTAAGTCTGGAATAATTAAATATTTATGGGATTTTGTCTAGTAGGCCTACAATTAATGTTAGTTAATGTTTATGAATAAACAGGAGTACCTTACAGGACAGTGACTATTTGCATCATACAGTATATTTAATAGTTGGCTCCATACAAATTAATTCAATCCTGATCGTGAGACAACGAAACTGGCCTTGTGCCCCTGAGCTACGCAGCTGTGAACCTCCAACAGCATGAGTCTAATGACCGCCTAAGGACCCCAGTGCAGTCGAGTGATGGGGTCCGGGTACAGTATGAGGAAGCGAAATTCTGAAGAAACTTACAAATTTTATTTAAACATTAAATTGCTCATTTAAATAATAAGTTTGCTCATTTTGCAGTTACTAACATACAATTTGTTACTTGAGCATAGAAATTATAGAATTGTATATCCTGATTTTTATATAGGATGATAATATAAATAATAATAACACTTCCACTGTAAAATTACGGGTAAACACTTTTTTAAATAACACTAATTTTAATGTTTTAGTTGAACATTTTGTGTTACAGTACTTCAAAATGAGAATTTCCAAAATAATTTTTATAATCAGTTTTCCCAGATTTAAAGACTTTATAATTTTACAAAAATCGGTAAATTGATTACTAGCAAGGACTTGCAGAGAAATGTAGGAACAGGTTAATATTTCTGTGTGTGTCTCAGTAAGCATTTTACATTTAAAACTATTGGTCAACTATTAATTATATTCTATTGTAGTGTCTTGTAAACACAGGAAATTAAATTTACAGTAGACTTATAGCAAATCAATTAATTAAAGCTCATTAATTTAAACTGTTAACAGGATGTTAAAAGTTTGAGAAACTAGTTTGTAAGTTGTAGTGCTTTGACCAAGTGTTAAAGTGCCTAATATACCAATTGAAGAAGTCAATTCATATTAGAGTTATCCTGGAATCAATTAGTATTCATTGCCAAAGGATATTTTTGTGGTTTTAATACATCTTTCTCCTGAAAACGATTAGAGCATTATAATTGAAACATTGAATATTTTCAACAACAAACTTGCATATCCATCTATATACATGTTATACCGGAAATATTTATACAGGACAAATTAAATTATTTTCTTGTCAGTGATTCACTGCTGCCCAAAAAAATATTGAAAATAAAAAATGATATTTTTAAAAAATAAATCAAAAAATCTCTTGGGCAAAAACCACAGGTGATCGATGAAGGAATAGAGAAAATCGATACTAGGGTGGTTTTGCATGCAAACGCATACAGTTAGTGTGATGTATACATCATCATTTATGATGTTATACGCTGGTTGCTATCTGCTAACCGTGTGGACGACACGCATACAATATCTCGCTCAATACACGTATGTAAAAAGTGCGTAGGAAAATTTTGGATTAATTCTAATACTATCTTCGATTTTTTTCACATTTTACAGTAAGTTTAAACGTCAATGTGCACGTGCCATTTTTGTGACTTTTGAAGACACCAAGTTACGATAGGATGCATCTCATTTTGGGGTATTTAAAAACGTCGATGCTTGGTGGTGTTGGGATTTTCCTGTACAGTAGGCCTAGCTAGGGGCCTCTCTAGCTAGGCGTATATAGTAGCCAGGCATTTCTTTGGTCACAAAATAACCACCTATTCAGGGCAACAAGGGAAGGAGTATTATTCGACCAAAACCTTGCATACCAAAACTTTAGGCCAAAATCTTATTTTGAGTTCTAAGTATTATGGTGAGAGAAGAAAACGGAATTGCCTAGGCCCTAGGCTACTGTAGAATTAAGGCCCAATGCTTAAATTTTGCTGTCAATGCAAAAAGCACAGCATGGCTGCAAACCGATGCGGATAGCTAAACCTATGCGTACACATATTCGTTTGCGTGCGAAACCTCCCAAGGACAACACATGTTTGTTGCAAAATGTATACTCTTGGCTCTGTTCTGATTGGTTAGTTCATGGAGGAGTTTTCCTCCATGGTTAGTTGTTATGCCTGTGTATTGGCTCCATAGCTTCTGAAAAAAATATGCAAATATCAGAAAATAAGAGAGTCGTAAATAGATTGATCCATCAGCTTATTTAATCTCTCATCTATCTTTCAGTAGGCCTACCTCAAATTATACTTTCAGAACAAGACAGGATGTGCTAGTTTACATTAGTACACTTAATCTTGGTCAAGGTTTTGGGGCAAAGAATCCAGCTGACAAGATTTCATTTCCAGCCAAGAAATGTTTGGCTGGGTTTTGAAATCTGACAATGAAGGGACAGAGTGTCCGTCTTCAATTGGCTCAGGACCTAAGGGTCTTAGTTTGAGGGATACTATAGTTTTCTGGAAGATGTCTGTATCCTATCCCAACTACAACAATTTTTTTTTCCTTTATTGATATATTAGGTAAAATTTTACAAAAGTGCATAAGGTTTGCTAGCGATTTTTTGCTTGCGATTGTTTGCTTTAAGATTACTACCAGCCCCGCTACCATCAAGAGTTAACTATAAATAAAATTACTTTCTTATGTAATGAAATTAAGTAATTTAGAATAAATATGCTATTAACATCTGTTTGTACTGGTATTGGTATGGGCATTTATAACGTGCCTCTTCCTTGAGGTTATAAAGCGCAGTTCTTTTCCCTGGTCATTGGGTCCACGTGCTTTAAGTGTTGCTACTGGAAATCAGCGCAGGAGCAGGGATAGCATTGAGAATATACAGGAGGGTAAATAGCTAGGGTAAATATCCAATAGTCAAGTAGCCTTCTCTCTAGCATGGTGCATTTTTATATTAAATTAAAATAGGTGACTTAGAGAGATTGTCTCCCTCCCCAAGCAAGACATTTAAAAAGTTATCAGAATTCATTAAATTTTTATTTGATAATTTTTCACTGTCTAGTATTTAGGCCTATGTACTCTACCACTCTGGGTCTTTAGTAGCCGCACTAAAAAAGGTCTTTTTAGTTAGGCCAATTAATATACAGTAGAATAATCCACAAGGTACACTGCAGCTGCCTGAAAATCCCCTCCCCCTTACCCCCTCCCAGTATAACATAATGCTGAACTCGTCACTCTATTGAAACATTAGAGAGCACACAGAATATTTTCATCCTAATAAAATGTATTGGAAACAGCTTTATGCTTAGTGTACTCAGAACTTCTATTGATCGACCAAGAATCATTGAATTTGTTAAATAGCATGTCACAAAATATTTCATTGTAATATGTAAAAGTATACTAGTAAATAAACAGAGTGACAAAATCAATAGATGTAGGTGTTTGCAAAACAATATAAAATGTCTATAATCACAAAGTGATTGTTGTTGGTCTTTTGCTCACACTGCGTATCAGGTAATGAAAACAAAATGTGTGCCTCCAGCCATCATAATGATTACTGTACTGTACACTATACTTTATACTGTAGCCTAGCAGTAGTGGTCTGGAGCGATAATAAAAAATTATAAAATAACTCCAGGGGCATGCTCAATGCCTCCAGGGGCATGCTCAATTCCTCCAGGGGCATGCTCAATTCCTCCAGGGGCATGCTCAATGCCTCCAGGGGCATGCTCAATTCCTCTAACTGCTGGTCATGCACTTTTTTCAGCCCTGCTGTATATGATACAGTAGTAGCTATGAACATTTTAACATATATCACCTAAATTGCCACAGACAAACTTCCTTTTAAATACATTTCAGGGTTCATAATGTCATAGTGGCATTTACATTCAACCCAGGCCAAATTTTCTCATCGTTGACAACTCACTATGTTTAGAAATAGAAGAGCAAGAAGACAAACAACTGATGTGATAATATGGTATGAGTGTGATTGAGATTCAAATTGTTGAAAGTATAACTGACGATGTTCGTATGCCAAGGTGCTTGGCATACAAAAACAGATATTCTTGTACAGTATTTCTGTATTATTGGCTCATTATACCAGTAACTCGTTGTATAAATAGTAGCAACGTGACCATACTTTAGGCCTACCCACATGTGTCACTGTCAGACATTAACAAAAACTTTAGGATGCCCAATCAGACAAATTTGATTGACATAAACAGGCTTGGGGCCAAGGTCAACTTGAAGAACAAAACTAAAGTACTTTATTTAATACACAGGTTGTCTTTAGAACAGTAAACAGTTACAATTATCTTTTGTGGTACCGTAAAAGACTACAGCACTTCAGTTATACAATCACAGGAAATTAAACTACTGTAGCTTCACATATAGACTACAGAATAACACTTAAACCAGACAAATACTGTAAGGCCAAGTAAAATAAAAAAGTAGTTTCTTGTCCTAATATTTTGAAAAAAAGGAGAATGAGGGAACTTTTTTTTACTCAGAGATGGCAAATCCAAGATGGTGGATGGGAAACAGTTACTATTTTCTAACTTTTACCAAGTAGAGACATTGAAAGCAAATAAAAGAAGCACTAGACACGATTCTTACCATATGTATCCCCAACCACGAACGAATCGAGAGTTAGCCAGATTTCCAAATACTACGTAAAATATAGGAAATTAAAAAAAAAAAAAATGGTGAAGTAGCGAAAACGGATGTGCGAGGGGACAAGGAAATATTATATTTTTTCATTTGGCCTAACTAATTACAATTTAGTCAATAATAACTATATTCCACCCACGCACACATACATGACACAAACACAAAACAACTTATTTAAATTTTCTCCATGATTTATTTATTTTTTTTTATAAATGTTAAGGAGAACATAATATCTTGATGACTCGAGTTTCAACCCATGATTTGAATACCAGGAAATTAAACATCTGAAAGCTAAATCATTTTTATTATGCTATTATTAAAAACAAATAGGAAAACAAATAATGAATGTATGAGTGAAATTTCATTAAAAGTTGTGAGCATGTTTCCGGTGCAATATAGTAGCGGTGTTTGACGTCACATGAGTCAATCAATCGCGCCTTGTCAGCCCTGGGCCACGCTCGGATCAATATTATGATGAATAAGATGTTTTATATGACGGCTTTTTGTGATCCAGATCATTAACGGATTGGGTACTTCTAACACAATCTTATCCCTTGGAGAACTCACACGTAAGGTAGAGCAATTTCAAATACAAGAGGCGTTAATCGCTTTTTTCAAGTTCGTTTGGCACGAGCTTTGTTAATTTGCAACAAACTCATTCATTGGTCATCATTCACTGCTTATATCATCAAAGTTTAAATTGTAAAATAGCAAATTTAAATATCCTACTTTGTTGACCTAAATACAGTATTGTTATCGTTTTAAGGCTATGAATCGATCGGTGAGTTACAGTAGTCGAGAAATGGAATTTTGACCACTTTGCCAAGATCATCTCTCATTAAGCACATTTCAACCTAAGGTAAGTTTGGTAGAAATTCTTTTACTTGAGTCTGTTGCATTCAGACAAAATAATGCATAAGTCAATAAATTGATTGATAAAGTTTTATACATCTTTATGTTTAATATTAACCATGGGCATTTATTTGAATAAATAATAATAGATAATAATTTTTTTTTTTGTTATGCTCTTTTAGAGCTTTTCAAATAAAGTGTTTTCTGATATTTCTTTTCTTCCTTTCCTTCATCCTTCTATTTTATCATCTGCTTTTGCAGGTTACCATCCCCACTCCATCTACAGTAGTAGAATCTTTACCTAAACCCTGCTACCATCCTTTCTTTCTCCCTTGCTGTCGTGTTTGTCTTGAATTTGCGATGTGTACTTATGTGTGTGTGTCTCACAGGTTACTGGTAATGAACCTTTCTGGATAGTAAAACATTGCTACTGACCAATCAGAACTGGGCCAAGAATATTATGTCCATCCTACAAACACATGTGCTTGCCACTGATCTCTACTATAATAGCTGGATTGCTCATTGACTGGTTTTAGTGAGGCCACCGACGCCATGTTGGGAGGCCTAAGTGACGTATCAGTTTAGACAAGTTTCTTTTAGTATTTGTTTAAATTATTGTAAAAATAAGAATTCTTGCAAAAATTTTTAATAATAAATTTGAATTTAACGTAATGATTATTTTTCAAATCATCTATCTATTTGATGTAACTTTTCATGTAGTTGAAAGAAAGCACATGAAAATTTATTTGCATTGTTAGGGAACGACGTCACTATAACAACGCGACTTTCCTCGCACTTTTGAAAACTGCATAAACAGTCGCGTCTAGTGGGTAGATGGTTTGAGAAAAAAAAATCCTACGTTAAATTTAAATTTATTATTTGAAAAGTATTGCAAGAATCTTTATTTTTAACTAAAATTTAAACAAATGTCAAAAGAAACTTTTCTAAACTGGTACGTCACTTAGGCCCTCCAACATGGCATCGGCGGCTTTTCTTTTTTCTGTACTAGGATTGGCCGATGAGCAATCAAGCTATTATAGTAGAGATCTGTGGTGCCTGCTTATGTTTTTGCACTGTTGATTTCTGGGACCTTGGCAACAATATCCAAGGGGCGGGGCTTAGCCAATTATAGCCATCTTATTCTAGACATTCGACAGCCATTGATAATGAAGTTGGCATTTAGGAGTTGACAGCAACAAACATAAAATTTCATGACAGGGAAGAAGTTTTAAAGTGCTGTTAAAGTTTGATGTATCTTTTTCAAGGACTTACTAAATTTTCAGTAGGGGCAGTCCCACAATATACATTCTAATAATCCTGTATTAATTCAAACAGTTTCTTAACATCCTTCTTCCTACATTCTGTACAGCACTTAGCATCCCCACTCACAGTCACCGGTGAGTATACAGTATTGCCATGCCGCAATGACACTAGTATATAACATCGCTACTACTTATACTGCATGCTACCGTTGTATGTCTAATTACAGTTTCCTCTTGTTATACCCTTGAACTAAATCTGTGCAAGATTAACAAATTTCAGATGCTGCCAACTGATACGTGATTGACAATGATTTCATTATGTTTCTGATTCACTGATTTATCCCTCGTACGATTCTGTTTTTCAGTCAAGACGGTCCCGGAAATCAGCACTTTTTAAATCAAGGGACACTGTCATTCCAGTCAAAAACTACCAAGGACGTGCACACACTTCTAGGTGATCCAGGTACTGGTGAGTTTTCAGGCTTTTTTTTAAATATAGAATTTTTAGAATTTACCAAACTGTTTTTATTTTTTGAGGTTGTATATCTGGTAGAACTGTTTTTTAATTAAAAAGTACAATTCTGTCATTGTTCTTCCTTCTTTCAACTGATCATGTAAGTTAACATGAGCAGCTAGTCAAAACAATAATGTTTTCGCTGACTTCAGTACAGTCCTTTTAAATTGGATTACCACTGTAGGGACCAATATAACTGTTTATAACAAGAACATAAAACTGGTAATATATCATCTGTTGAATAATGAAAAAAAAAATATATTCTTGTAAATTTTATTTGAAAGCAGAATGGAGCTTTAGTTTGGTTAAGATGCCTGCCCTGCAGAACCAGGGTTTTTGGGTTAATTTCTTGTCAAATAATTTTGTTAATCACAACCAAAATATCTTCACTTCACTCAGCCAAAATTGTTGATAGGAGTTTGATGAAAACTTGGGAATGGTTTGAGATACAGATTTTTTAAATATAAGAAATAGGGAAAAGGTGCTAAAAAGGGAAAAGGGTGCGGTTTCCCCCCCCCCCCAATTTTTATATATTCAACAATCTGTATTTTATTAACTGTCCCCTAGTGTTTCATCAAACACCCTTTTTTGTGTCTTAGAAAAATTAGTCGTGCAACATATCAAAAATTGTTTTCCCTCTGGAGCTTGGCTTTAGGTATCATAATTAGAGGAGCTCAACATATTTTAAGACTGCCACTTAGAACATGATTATTCTCTCTTTAAGGCGAGACTTTTTTATACCTTGTTTCGCGAACTTATTTTTTTTAAAGATCGTCAGAGGGTGGAAAAAAGAATAAAAATGAAATTTTTTCTTATTTAGCAAATATTTTTGCCAAAAACATCCAGACAGAGGAGAAAATAACAATAAAATTTCATTGGTGAATGTAAATAATGTAGTAATGAGATGGTTAAATACTTTAAATTTACATAATTAATAGGAAGAAATACATATCTTATTTGTGGAGATTTTAAAACAGCAGCAGCGGGCGTAATAAAAATAAAGAAAAACCTTTTCTTTTTTTCTGAAATTTCAAATTTTTTGTGGAGATGTGTGCCCTAATTGGACACAGATAAAATTTTATCGTCATTATTAGTGGGCAGTGGATTCGCTAAAAATGGTATAAGAAAAGTCTCATCTAAGCAATCGAAGTGTTGCATTTCAAATTATTAAACTCTACTTGTTATTTAAGATTCATATAATTTTTTCAAATTTAAGAAATTTCTGGTGCATCTTTTTTATTGACTAGATAGCCCACTGATCTTGCAATTATTAAAATTTAATATCTGACAATTGATTGAAATACAGAATATAAAGTCTTAAATTTAATAGTCAATCAATCAATCAATGAATCATTGGATTTCCAATGTACTGTACCATTCCAATAAAGAAATGTTGCTCCGATGTGCTGCGTCAGGAAAATATAGGATTGGTCCACTGGTTATGACACCATGCTAATTATCTGGAGGGTGTGGGTTTAATTCCTGTCCAAATCACTTACAAATTTTTTTTCGCAAGTACTTGGGAACATTAAGAATACTAGTATTCAGTAGGAAAACACGTCAGGTATGGAAAAAGAAATTATTCCATTATTTTATTTTAGAGATAATTTTAGTCCAGTAGTTATTACATTTCTTGAATATGCTACAGTATATGATCAGTTTATTATGTGGACATAATGAGGCAGATCTGCTTTCCATATTTAATCAACTCTCTTTCAATTTCAATTCAAAGGATAGTGTTTTAATGTTCAATAGATGTTGGTGTAGAATTACTGTAAATTCAGAAATTACATATTGATTTAACGAAAACAAACCAATTTTGGACGCCCTTCACTCACTGGTGTGCACAGATTATGAAGAGTCAGCATGCCTACCTGAAACCATTTATTCCTCCATGCTGAAACCAGGAATTGGCAAACTTAATATACTTTAAATTTTTCAGGACATTAATTGTAGGTTCTTGTTTTGGTGCTTGTATAGACAATACTCATTAATTGAGACATATCCAACATGACAGGGATGTCACCTTTAATTAAATTGTGGTTTCTAGTAACTGTATGTGGCTAGCCAAATAAATTTGCAATGTTTATATATGTTTCAGTATTTCTTTCAACATTAATAACAATAATAATAGAATAAAATAATTGGTTATTTGTATTGTGCTTGTTTTGTCACTGGCACTTAATGGTAATAAAAATCATTGAAGTTAGGAGAGTCTTCAAAGGTGAGAATTTCTTTACTTCGAGAGTTCGCTAGATAATAATTTTTCCCAGTTACAAACATGCAACAATCTGGGGACAGATAACGTGAAAGAGATTGTCTGTCTTGTGGAACGTAAAGATAATTATTGCGTGATGGATTAAGAGAGATAATTGGAGCATGTCCATTTATAAGTGTGAAGAGTAATTATTTAAAATTAAATAAAAATTAAACGTTTACTTACATTGAAAACAGAAGCTCCAATTACCTACTAATTAAAAATTGTTGTATAATGAAAATATATTTTTACATTCATTATAAGATTTGGATGCACTGTACTAATATTTATTTTTATGTGAATAATAATGTTTATTTTAAAATTAAGGTGGTGCAAACAATTTAAATCAAAACTTAATTAGCACCATTCAGTTGTTATTGATCGTCTTGAGCCATAACATCAATCGCTAAATTTAATGGGTGGCAGACAGTAGGTATTCTAATAAGTGATTCGGCCTTATAATGCTGAAGGCAGATCAATATGACTTTTGAAGAGTTAATGAAACCTGTTTGCCGTCAATAGTTTCACATATGAATGAATTTAGCAAGTAGTTGATTATGTTATTAAGTTAACTTTAGTTGTGGTATTGTGTGTGGGTTGTGGTAATGCTCTATTTTCAGTATTCCAAAAACGGTTTTTAATTTATACCATGACTTGATTCGTTTCTGTATGATATTGATGTGTCATTTTTATGGCTTATTGCCTTCTTTGGTTCTGCAAGATATCAAGGGCTCAGGAAATTACACTTTTAGATATGGAGGGACAGAATTATTTGAATATAAGTAAATGCAATAAAGGGAGATAATATAAAATATATGTTTCAAGAATTTAATGCTAATTTTAGGAAAAAAATCAAATTTCCTAAGACAAAACAATTTAATTATGTAGATAAATTTAATGTGAAGGGATTGAGCAGTTGTATTTGTAAACATAATTACCAACTTTAATTGTTTATAAATCCAAACGTTATCCACAAAACAATATTTAATATTTGATTTGATGTTAGTTGGTGTCTCAAAAATATGATTATATTCACAATTAATATTCAATTACAGAAAGACAAAACAATAATAAAATTACAATGTGTATAAAAGAAGATATCAAAGAAAAAATTCTAAAAAAGAAATATATTCTATCACATGAAAATGTTTACAAGTAATCTGTTTTTGAATCAAGTGGTCAATACTGTATGTTTTGTTGTAAACTGTTAAGAGATTCCCCAAGATTTATGAATTCCGGTTGCATTGTTGGCTAAGAGTCAAGTGTATTTATAAATGAAACACAGTTAGTGACGAAGATCACAGGTGGAAGGAGGACGTATTACGTTGGATACATTCTCCTCATGATGCCATGTGCCTCAATGAGTGCGTCACTAGGATACCAGCCCAGTTGGGCAATTTCCAGTGGATATGCGGAGCTCTACATCTTTAATAGATTTCTTCTGATGTAGTTGTTTTTTTTTTTATTTCATCATATTCACAACATGGAACTTGATATTAGAATATTCAGTAATTTAATTCATTATCACCCTCATGGAAATATATGGAAATATTTATAATTAATATTTACAAGTACATTTTTCATTTATGTTTTTAAAGATGTACATTTTTAAGTTATTAATAATAAACCTTTGAATAATTTTATAAAATATTATTATACTGTAGAATTAATATTTGGAAAGTATATTAAATTATATACTAGTGTATAACAATTTTTTTAAATAATTTTTTGTAAATATTTTACAAAGAATTTCTTCATAAAGTGAATATTAAGTAATTGCCAATTGGCAAAAAAATAACATCTTTTCTAGGCAGAGAGGAAGTTGGGTTTAATCACATGTCACAAACATACACAGTCATATCTAGGCCAGGCTATATTTTCAAACAAAAGGCATATTGTAGGCTTATGGTTTTCAAGATTTGGATAAGGATTTTCTGCATTGGCTATGACTACAGATTTTTTTTTAATCATCCAAAAAAATATTAGTGTCAGTACAAGAAACTAGTTTTATTTGGCCAGTTTCCACTTCTCTTTATGCCTGTAATATATTTTTGTTTAGTGCACATGTGTCAATCGGTGTATAAAGTATTGTCTTATTGATAATTACTTTTAATGATTGTAATAACAAAGTTATACTTTGTGTTTCTATATTAAGCTTATATAGTTTTTTGGAATGTAAATTTTTTGACATCAATCATTAAGTATTCAAGTTTATTGTCTCGTACAAATATAAATTAAAACTTTTTTTTACAGCAATGCAATATACAGTATGGCTTTTAACTAAGGCTAGTTGTTTGAATAGGTAAATCTAAATGTTTGAATCGTACTTTTAGGTAAGCTCATATTCACCCAACTATCCCTTGAAAAGGTAAACAAGGTGTTCCCAACATCAGACTCATTAAAAACATGTCAATTAAACTGTATGTTATACAATTTTTGTGCACTAATGCCTTTTTAGTGCACATTTTCTTTTATATTGCCCGGAAAGTTAGATAATAATTGTTAAATAAATAACAGATTTCACTATGTTTAATGTGATTGCATGCCATGGTATTTGATTTGTGGCGTTGCATTGTTGACATTTATTGACTATTTCTGGGACTACGATACCTGGGTTCTAGCCTAATAAAGATTCTATTTTGATTACCGGTAGTTCAAATTCACGTCTAAGGTTTTGATTAAGTTGTCATGCCCTGGG